TCAGCTTTATCCTACCTGCATAGGACATGTGTTTTGTCATCCAGGAGTTTATTTTAGTTGTTAGCTTCTCAACCAATCTTTCACACTCTCTTTGGCCTATCCTTGCAGCAGTGATTGGACATCCTAGGTATCTGAAAGGAAATTCTCCTTTAACCATTTTGGTTATTTGCAGATATCTGTTCTCATTCACTAAACTAACTCCTCCCATCACTATCTGTGATTTCTCATAGTTTATGCCTAGACCTGTCACTTCTTTAAAATGTTCCAAAGCTTGTAGCACTGCTGATATAGACTCTTCCTCGGCTTTACACACAACAATCAGGTCATCAGCAAACACCAAGTTAATCAGATTCAATGACTTACACATGGGATGGTGTTTGAAACGTTTTTGGTCTGCATTATATTGAAATGTCCTTGTGAGATACTCCATAATAATCACAAATAGCAATGGGGACATGGGATCTCCTTGTCTCAGTCCTCTCCCACCCTTAAAATATCCATTTATCTCACCATCAAGTTGAATTGAGAATGCAGTATTTGAAATGCAGAATCTAATCCATTCAACAAACTTAGGAGGAAATTTTAGGGCTTCCAAGATTTGGGTCATGGCCTTCCAGCTTACTGAGTCGTAAGCTTTCCTAATGTCAAGCTTCATCATACACCTTGGAGACACCCCTTTCCTGATGTCAAGCTATGTCCCCATTTCTCCTGAGCTACAGACAGCAGTATGTATTACTTATATTCTAATTACTTTTTGTTATAATTTTTTATGCGACTAACCATGGTATTGTGCATAGCTATCCTGTATGGCAGATTGCCATCAGCGCCTTGATCCAGGTAGGCACCCGGATGGTTTTGAAACCTCTCACGAGGTACTGCAAGTCCATGACTTGTTAGGTGAGTGTATACGTGCTCTTGGACATGCATCTATCCTCGATCATCCACAGCAGCAACCAGTATACAATCCAGGACATATTCGTAGAAGGGCAGATAGAAGGCGCGATGCACCTCTTGTAGCGGTTAGGCGTGGCGGACGTGGTCAGCGTAGGTTGCAAGTTGAAGAAGAAGAGGTTCATACCCCGGTCCAATCCCATCGTATGTCCCAGGACGAGGATGCGACTGACGATGACTATGTTGAGAGTGATACCCACACACCCGCTTTCATTGTTGAGCCATCCACTTTATATACTCCACGATTCGAGGTTCCAGATCCTACACAACGCACGTATCATACGTCACCAGTCAGGTTTGATGGAGATTATGTGTTTACTCAAGAAAGTCAACTCACGGATGAGTTTGGACAATATCTCTCCAACACGACACCATTGGATATCCCTCATACGTTTGGTAACTTTGAAGTGGAGGAAGAGGAACAGGAGCTGCGACCACAACGCACTCGACGTGGGACTCGATGTGGTACCTGTAGCCATTATGTTTAGTTTTTTCCTTATGTATGTAAACTTTATTTATGTATTGTAAACTTTAATTATAGACATTATTTATCTGTGGGCATTATATTTCGTATTTTCAATTTATTTTTTCACTCCCAACTAACAACCCCCATCTAACCAATTATTTCCCCTCCCAACTAACAACCCCCACCTAACCAATTATTTCCCCTCCCAACTAACAACCCCACCTAACCAATTATTTCCCCTCCCCTGCTTCCCTTATAAATACACCCCAAAATCTCCATTTCTAACACACCATCTTCTCTACACACTAAAAAACAATGTCAGAAGATAATAGTATACTTCTAGTAGCTTATTGGAGTAGTGAGATACAAGTTATAAGTCATGAAGTTCAATACTCTGAGCTTCCAAAGAAGTCTTTGTTGTTCAATTCTGATGTATCCTACAACACCTTTCTTGGTCAAACTAGTAGTGATGTAATTCAAGACAGATTCCAAGGCGTGGAATCTATCTTTGGTAAATTCCCAGACATCAATCGGGGGTTTATGTTGTCTCCGCCACCTACGCAGCAATTTCTGGAATAAGTTCCGAAGTAAAAAGTTGCGGACCTTGATGTACAAAGCTGGTAAAGCCCCAAATAGAAGTGAGTTTGACCAGTTGCTACTCCAAATAGCATCCAAAAATCAAGAAGCCTACAACTGGCTTAATGCCATTCCAGAACACAAGTGGGCTTTGTCACATGATGAAGGTGGGTCACGTTATGGTGTAATGACTACAAATTCCTCAGAAAGTTTCAATCATGTCCTTAAAGGATGTCGTTGTTTGCCAGTATATGCCATTGTGATGTTCACCTATGATAAGCTGGTCAAACTTTTCGCTGAGAGGCGAACCAGTGGGTATGTGTGGCAGCAATCTGGGTACAATTTTCCTATGAATGTGTGGAAATGTATCAGGAAAAATGAAGAAAATAGGCTGTATTGTCGTGTTGTGCAGCACCACGCACAACAAGGGATATACTCTGTGGTGGTGGATGGGTCATCCTACATTGCTCAACGGGAGACATTTACGGTGAACTTAAATGCACGAACATGTAGTTGTGGTCAATGGGTAACATTTCACCTCCCTTGCAATCATGTCCACGCAGTATGTCATTTTTGTAATGTCACCGTGGATCATTTGATTCCAAATGTTTTTTCAATTCAGTCCTACATCAACGCTTACTCTGGCATTATAATGCCGCTACCGGATGAGTCTCAATGGCCTACTCCAGAGTACGAGATCCTGAGGCCAACACCACGACAGAGCACACGAACCGACCGACGTATGAGAACCCGCTATCCGAATAACATGGACTATCGACCACGGAGACATCCTAACGAGGAATAGCTTTGTCATGAATTTCAATTATGTCTGAGTTTATGTATTATTAAATTTTACAAATAAGTCAGTCATGGATTGTGTTTTGGCTTCTTCTTTTTATGAATAAATTGTTATATGTACTCTAGCAATAAAATTATTGTGTTTTGTCTTGTTCTTTTAATATCGTTATATAAATACCACTTAAAGTCAATAAATAGTATTTTGTTTAAAGTTTTATTGTAGTCTATTATTTACATCTTCTTTATGTATGTTTCTCGTTTATTTTCTAATTAATTTGGTTTCTTATACGTAATTTAAAAGTAACAGAAGTAAATTGATTTAATTCAGTTATTAAAAAATTAAAAAAATTAGAAAATACAATATTTTAATACTTTAAAGTTAGAAAAATTTAAAAAAAAAGTTTATAAAAGTGGATTTAATTTGTTAAAAAGGTTTATAAAAGAGAAGATAAAATAACTAAAAGAAATTTAAAGGGAAAAAAAGAAACAAAGCAACAAATCCATTTTTAAAGAAAATTACAAAAAAAAATATAGGAACGGATTAGGCTAATCCGTTTGGTAATTAAATAAGTGGAACGGATTAGCCTAATCCGTGTAGTTAAATAATATGCATCAAAATGGATTAGGCAAATCCGGTTGGTATTTTGGGGGAAAGTCCGTTTTCAAATTGCATTTAAAGGAATGAGATGCAAGGTTTTTACACGAACAGGGAAATGACCCAAGAGCTCGAGGCCAAAAATAGGGGTGGGCAAAAAAACCGAACTAGAATGGTACCATACCGGACCGTAATGGTACCAAACCGTTTATAGTGTTTTTAAACGGGATTGATTTTTTTCATCACGAACCGAAACCGAACCGATACCAAATGGGACGGGACCGTGATACATATATTTAAAATTGATTATCACGGACCGAACCGTTCAACGCTATATACAGAGTACGTATCTCAAATAATTATGGAGTATTTGTCTATTTCATCTTATCATATATAAAATACTTCGTATTTTATTATTCCTTTTTAAACTCTCTCATTATTATTGTTCTCATTATATTTATCATTACTATTAGCATTATTTTTTTATGGTTATTAGTATTCCGATATTATATCAATTGGGGAAAAAATTATTTTTCAACTTTGGACTCATTATCTTTTATTCTTTATGTTTATGATCCGTTTAAATTCGAAATCAATACTTTTATTTAACAAACTTGTGCTTTTTTATACAAATTTATACATTAAATTCAATATTCTTTGAGTAATGTACATTCATTTTTTTGGCACAGTTTGAGCATGGGTATGGTATTGTACCATTCCGTTTCAAAACGGAATGGTACCAAATGGTTTTGGAGTTCATCCCATACCGATGCCGGACCGTTTAAATAAGAGCGGTCCGTGATAGGTTCCGATAGTATCACGGACTATCACGGTCCATGATTGGCCCAAAAACTTAAAAAATACTCCCTCCGTCCGGATTATATGTTCCCGGTTTGACTTTTGGTCATTTTTAGTGAGTGTTGACTAATGGGTTAGATTGCCCAAAATACCCCTGCCCCCACACCAAAATATCTCTGCAACCCTCAACACCACATCCACCCAAT